GTACATTTTAAGTGTTAATATGTACATTTAAGGTGCTAATATGTCAATTTCATGAGCTAATTATGTCCTTTTCAGGTGGTAATATGTCCATTTTAGGTGCTAATATGTACCACTAAGGTACCAATATGCAGCCTTTGGGTACAAAAGTGTACCTTTTGAAAAGGTACAGCCCCAGTGACAGCTTTTGTACCTTTTTTTCTGAGAGTGCATTAAAAATAACATTTAAATATATATATTTATTTATATAATATTTGAATTTTGAAGTGCTAGAAAAAGATGTGTGAAGTACTTGAAAGCATTTCACCATTCCAGCCAAACTGGTTCCAGTTAGTGTTACTATATTAAATCCATGGTGAATGTTGCTGGTCTGTGGACGAAAGTATTACTAGTTCATTCACGGCACAATGTTTCTCCTGGTTTCCATGACAGCGCTGTTTAATCTAATAGAGATCTACGGTAAATAACGGAGAAATGTGTATGCATCTCACTAGATCTCGCAGCGATGTTATTACCTCAGTGGCGAATTCAAATGTGTTCTTTACCGGATCTCTTAGCGCTGTGTAGTAACAGTGTTGCTTGATGGAGATCGGCTCGCGCTGCACAGATGTTGCTGGTCCGAACTGATAAACGATCCGTGAAGCACATAACGAGTAGCGCAGTTTCGTTCTGCTTTCATTACGCTTGCCAATTTGATGTTGCGCAACGTTGTGTTGGCCGCGTCAGCACGAATTTTGCCGGCAGGAAAAATTATCCAAGCAACCGTTCGGTTTGTATGCGTACCGAACCGGAAGCCTCGAACCGAAACGGTTCAATACGAATACATGTACCGTTACACCCCTAGTACCTATTATAACCTAAAATTTACATATTAGCACCTAAAATGGACAATTAACACCTAAAATGTACTTATAGCACCTAAAATGTACATATTAACACCTAAAATGTACATATTAGTACTTAAACTGTACATATTAGCTCCTGAAATGTACATATTAACACTTAAAATGTCATATTAGGAGCTAAAATTGACATTACCACCTAAAATGTTCATATTACCACCTAAAAATAGACATTAGGACCTAAAATGTACATATTATAACCTAAAATGAAACCTAAATGTACATATTATAACCTAAAATGTACATATTAACACTTAAAATGTACAGTATAGTATCTAAAATATACATATTATTACCACCTAAAATGTACATATTAGGACCTAAAATGGACATATTAGCTCCTGAAATTGACACATTAGCACATAAAATGTACATATTAGCACCTAAAATGTAAATATTAGCACCTAAAATGTAAATATTAGCACCTAAAATGTACATATTAGCACCTAAAATGTACATATTAGCACCTGAAATGGTCAAAAGTGTACCTTTTGAAAAGGTATAGCCCCAGTGACAGCTTTTTTACCTTTTTTTCTGAGAGTGTAAGACTTTTTTTGCTTCATGCCCACATCAAGGCTGCATTTATGTGATCAAAAATATTGTAAAAAAATATTTTCTCTAGTAGGGGTTGCATACAATTCGACTTAAATCATACATTTTTTTATTCACAATTTCACATTAGATTTAGTTGTGATAGCCTCTCATTTGCTGCTTAGCGAGTGTTAATTTTGGACCTTGACTTCAGTGTTTCTAAAGTAAACAACTAAATATAATTATAATCATATAGTATTCCCCTCTCTCCATTTTGTGCCAATGTTTACTCCTCCGCGTGCCAGTGGTGGGACACATGCCCTGGCACTGATGATTTCTGGTTATTAATACATTTAGTCATCTTTCTTTCTCCTTTTGCCTGTTTTTTATTGCACCAGTCATTTTTTAGGAGGAAATATATTACAAAATATAGCATTTTAGGACTAAACTGTATGGCATGTTAAAAAAAAATACCTTTGTTTTGGTCATGATTGGGGATTGAATCTCGTCATTTAAGAGTTCAGAAAGTAAGAGTTTACACTTGCTGGTGTCATCATAACTTGTTTTTAGGATAATATTAAATGAGCCCTATCATGCCCTTTTACAAAGTCTTGATTTTGTTTTTGGGGTGGACTAGAATGTTTTAATGCATTATTTTTCACATATTTTACATTATTAGTGAACTCCTCTCCCTAGTCTGGCTAGAACACACCGATTTCGATGAAGCCCCTCCTTCCGAAATACGATATGTGCTATGATTGGTTAGCTGGCCTAGTGTGTTGTGATTGGCAGTACTTAGCTTGGGAAGTGTCCCGCCCCTTAATAACCATGAGTTATTTTGTAGTGTAAATATGAATAAGCATGGTTTCAAATTCAAACCAATTCGAACCCGATTCAGACCCTGACAATGTTTACGAACGAGGATTGTGCAGGACGGATTTCATGCATAGACTTTGCTAGCAAGGATTTCGTAGGATGTTTCAGAGTGGTGTGTTTGTAGTTTTCTTATACTTTATAACTTCATAAGATCTGTAAAAATTGTGTTTTTGTTAGGGATGCACGTTATATCGGCCAGCATATCGGTATCGGCCGATATATGTTCATTTTTAATGTTATCGTTATCGGCCTGGTTGGAAAATGTGGCCGATATATTAAAGACGATAAATAATGCATTATTCCCTTCAGCTGAGACACTTGTTGAGCACTGTTTATGTTTTTGAATTTCTTGAAATATGATTAAAATCTCTTCAAAAAATGAAAATACGGTTCGGTTCAACATGTGCAGCTCAAATCTGTCATATTAGCTATTTAACACTATAATGAGAACATCATTGTAATTGTGCGCATGGGACATGGATTTAATTGTGAGATTTTTGTTTTTGTAATCAGGCTCTCAAAATTAGATAAAAATTTGGATTTAAGTTTATCGGCCGATATATCGGTTATCAAATATAAAGGATTATCGGTTATCGGTATCGGCCAAAATTTTCATATCGGTGCATCCCTAGTTTTAGTCCAAACGAGCCGTTCGTTGTAGTTCTTGAAAAGGAGATTCTTTCCCTTTGGAGTGGACTTGAGCTTTGTAACCTTGCAGATCTTTTTTTTATGCTCAAACAGCAACATTACAAACTGACTAAAGTTGAAAAAGTGGAAAACAAACATATTCAAGCTTTGATTTTATTTTGCCAGCACCATTCTCTCTTGCTTTAAAGGTATCTTTTGTGACATAAGTGGCACCAAAACAGAATTACAAAAGTAATGATTGTTTGCATGTCATGGAAAACCCTTGAAAAATATAAAAAAAAGCACTCAAAGTGCTTGAGTTATTGAAAGAAAATGTTAAAATTTAGGGTTTATTTTTTTCCACACAAAATCAACACTGCAAAAGTCTGATATTGATATAGAGCCATTTTGCATGGCTATAAGCTTGATATTGCTCATATAAATATCCAAGTATATGATGCATCTTTCATTCTTCAGGTCAATCATATATTCAGGGGAGAAAAAAATAAGTTTGAATAAGGAAAGCGATATCTTTGTCTTAGTATCCTTTCAATGGTTAGTTACCACAGTCATTGCTTGTGTTGCACTTTATATGTACCATTTTGTTTTACTAGTTTATTTTTGTTTATCTATATTACATTTTTTAGAATTTGAAAGATAATAAAGCTATTGTTTCATAAGTGAGATCTCTGATTGCATTTCTTGAAAACCAAAAAGTGGTGCTTATAAGTCGTGTAATTTAATTGTACAGTGTCTGCATGAACCCTGTAATAATGCATGAGCTCAGAGACTGTAGACGTAGGAGATGGATCACTCACAGAAAAATAGCATGTCGTCCACCAAGTGCCCTGTGAAGCAGCATGCCCTATTCATACTGGTCTATTTCTGTCCGTTCACCTGGCTGGTGTCCATCATGGCCCCTGAATGCAGTTAGGGTCAATTATAGTGCCTGAACACACAGCCACTGTTCCTTAATTGAACAAGGGAGCCTGTACTCAGTCTGTGAGATGATGTGGTGTCAGTGATCATGCTGTGTGTGCCTTTTCCCCTGGAGTGAGGTGTAAGAAACTCAAAGCATTTCTGGCTGTTAATGAGGTCCACTGTCCAGCAGGGTGCAGGTCAGGTCCTCTCTGTAACAGAGGGTAATATATGTATGTTTTAATTATAACTGTGAAGCACTTTCGGCAACAATGTAGCTATTAAATGTGCTATATAAATAAATAAGTTGAAGTTAACAGCCTTCATGTAATAGTCGGCATGCGGACACTCTCCATGTGTAGTCTGTAATAACGTCAGCCAGTGGTGGAAATTGGTACTGCAGTCCAAATTTAAAATATCAGAGATCGTTGTTTCTCACACAGAAACGCACATTTGAAAGTAAAATAACTGGCTAGAAGGGGTTTTTCAGAGAAACCAGTATTATGCCCTTTTACAAAGTCTTGATTTTGTTTTTGGGGTGGACTAATGCATTATTTTTCACATATTTTACATTATTAGTGAACTCCTTTCCCTAGTCTGGCTAGAACGCACTGATTTCGATGAAGCCCCTCCTTCCGAAATACGATAAGTGCTGTGATTGGTTAGCTGGCCTAGTGTGTTGTGATTGGCAGTGCTTAGCCCGGGAAGTGTCCCGCCCCTTAATAACCATGAGTTATTTTGAAGTGTAAATATGAATAAGCATGGTTTCAATTTGAAACCAATTCGAACCCGATTCAGACCCTGACAATGTTTACGAACGAGGATTGTGCAGGACGGATTTCATGTATAGACTTTGCTAGCAAGGATTTCACAGGATGTTTCAGAGTTGTGTGTTTGTAGTTTTCTTAATACATTATAACTTCATAAGATCTGTAAAAAAAAATTTGAAACTAAAATAACACTTTTGAAAGTAAAATAACTGGCTAGAAGGGTTTTTCAGAGAAACCAGTATGTGAACTCGGCATGTTTCCTCAATATATGCAAATTTGTATGCTTTAGTAAAGTGAATAACTTACACACAGCACCTTTAAATACCTAATGTGAGATCCACCAGGACTTATCTTCCTTGTTTTGTCTCTCTCTCTTTAGATGGAGTCTCCGGTCTCCACCCCGGCTCCTCCGCCGCTTCACCTCCTGTCCTCTATGGGAAACAGTGATATCGCCTCACCTTGTGAGCAGCTCATGGTGCGCACACGCTCGGTGGCCGTCAACACATCAGATGTGGCCCTGTCCACAGAGCCGGAGTGCCTGGGACCCTGTGAGCCGGGCACCAGCGTCAACCTGGAGGGCATCGTGTGGCAAGAAACCGAGGACGGTAAGAAAACGCAATGTAGCAAGGCCACGTGTGATTAGTGCATTAATGCATATCCGATCAGAATTAGCTAATGTGAATAGCAAACAATCACATTAAAGGAGTAGTTCACTTTTGAAAAAACGTTTGGTGATAATTTACTCACCCCCATGTCATTCAAGATGTCCATGTCTTTCTTTCTTCAGTCGAAAAGAAATTAAGACTTTTGATGAAAACATTCCAGGATTTTTCTTCATTGGGCACCAAACTGTTCAAGGTCCAAAAGACAGTTTCAGTGCAAACTGCAAACTGTTCAAAGGGCTTTAAACAATTCCAGACGATGAATAATAGTCTTATCAAGCAAAACGATCGCTCATTTAATAAATAAATTAAGTTTTATAAGCTCAAATGCTCGCCTTGCTCTGTTCTTCTGTGACGCACGTTTGTGACTCTCCTGTTCGAACTCGTTCATCAAAATGAACAAATCTTTTTCCGAGTCAATTGGTTCATTCAACGAACGAACCGAACGAATTGACTCGGAAAAAGATTCACTACAGTGTGGTCTCCCTAGTGGACCAGCACCACGACCGGCTGGATTGAGCCGAGTAGGGGACATCTCTAGGGTCTTCAAGTGGGCACCTTCCGTCCTCAGTGTTTTGTCGACTAGCCCACGACACCTCAAGAGGGCTCGACAGTGACTCTGGCGTCCCAGAGTGACCCCCCTCCGTCCCCCACTCAACTGAGCCCATCTTACTGACCTATACACTGAGACCTAACCACAATTTTACTTGAAATAAAAAAGCCTGTAAAAATGGCTCATTCTGTTAGATTTCAAGTAATCCTTAGGCCGTGTGTCCACCAAAGCATTTTTAGCCAGCTTAAAACGCCGTCCTTTGGGCACTTGAGAGCGTTTTGGCAGCGCAGCGTTTTTTCCGTTGAGACGTTTCGTTGCTATGATACAGAATATCCACAGTAGTTTGAATGTTGTGACAGTTGGTCGGTGTGGTATTAGTCCCGCCCCTCCTCCACTGTGATTGGACGGCTGGGTAAAAAGTGACAGTGATGAGCGCTGCATTTTATCCAAAGTTGAAAATTTTTCAACTCCCAGCGACCAGTAAAAACGCTTCAGCGCTAAAAAAAGTGCTCAGCGCCTCAATACGCTCATTGCGTTTAAAAAACGCGGCCCTCTCATTAAAAACATACGCCAGGAGCGTGGAAAAACGCTTTGGGGGACACGCGGCCTTACAGTGCACAAATACCGAAATAATAATTTGTGTACCTAATTTACATATTAGTATCTCCCTGGATTTCTCCTCAGGTATTAGTAAAGTACATCTATCTATAGCTGATTTGAAAAACACCTGCCTTGTAGTGAGTAGTGGACGGTACCTCACGCTCGCAATTTAGTTTATTCTAACTGGATTAGTCCAGATTCTGCAGGTTTGATGTTTTTTTAAAAACAATTTATATCCCTTCTTATCAAAGCCCACTGCAGAAATGTCAGTGGCACCAGCTTCAGTCTTGATTGCTCAGAATGAAAAGAAAAAATTTCCTTCAAATCCCTAAATGAGAGCATATCTAGGCTATGGGTAGGCAGTGGAATACGTGCCGCCCACTCTCTGCCATCCTCCCAGTGCCGCCACATAAAGGCCTGCTTCATCAACATTCACAGCGCATTGGCTGTCTAAGTGTTTTATATTCCTCTTGCCATGGGCACAGTGTGTCTGATTCACCCGGCTCCTCTGTGGCCACTCTTGTGTGTGTGTGCGTCTTTGACATGGAGAGAAAACGCAGTTGAAGGGTCAAGAAGGAGAGAAAAACAAATCCGTTTGTGTCCATTGACAGCCACACTTCCACAACATCAGCTCGGATCTGTTTTTCCAGGATGGGTCTCAAACACGTCATCTGTTCTTTCCCTTTAGAGAGGCAACCATTGTTATACACTTTCTCTCTTTCTCTCTGGGATGCGAGAGCTGGTTCCACTGGTGTGCATAGTGCATCTTCTTTTGACGTGTTATTTTTCTCATCAGGGTGTTGGGCAGATCTGTATCGTGGTGACATTTCGTGTGGGTGGAAAGTAGAGCAGCAAGATCCCGTGGCAGGGAACACATCTCTCACACACTTTGAGATGTCTTTCCGCTGTGCTGCACTCTCTTAAAGACGTTGCAGACAGTCCACCCACACTTCTCATAAGGATAACTTCCTAAGTCCTAAGACTGACAGTGTGTATCTTTCCGACGTTACTTGAACGCAGCATAAGACACTTCTTTTGGCAACTCTGGCCCTCAAGATTCACTTTCCTGAAGAATTTAGCACTAACCCTAATCAAACACACCTGAACAAGCTAATCAAGGTCTTCGGGATTACTGGAAAGTTGTCGCTACACTGCAGGGAAGTGGATCTTGAAGGTCAGGACTGTATCCGAAATGCCCCCAATACCCTCAATCACTGTTCACTACATTAGTTTGATTTGAGCGTACATCGGTTGTACACTCGTGGTTCCAGACATCACTACAAATGGCTGCCCCCTCAAATAGTGCCCTATTTAAGGGAATAGGGGGCAATTTCGGACACATCCCAGATTTGCCCAGCCCTGCCGTTAGACCTAAGCTACATCCAAAATCAAATACTTCCCTACTATATAGTATGCAAATAAGAGTATGCCAAAAGAGTAGTAAGTCTCTACTTCCGGCGTGCATTCGATGGACGCTTCACTATCCCATGAGGCCACGGGAGGGGATTTATGAATTGAAGTAAGTATCTTTCCAAACACGTGAAGCATTTACGAACCTCTTGTCCAACAAAAGACAACATTTAATAGCATGCTTTACTCCAAACTCACCTCATAACGACAATTGAGCATCCTTCTGTGAGATGATGTGGCTTCTTACACGGAATAAGGCAGTCGTGTGTTTATTAAACGGTAAATGGCGCTTTCACAGACCCAATGGCCACCAAAGTGCTTTACATTAGCCTCACATTAACCCATTCACTCACTCATTCATACACCGACTTCGGTGTCAGCCATGCAAGGCGCCATCCAGCTCGTCGGGAGCAACTAGGTGTCTTGCTCATGGACACCTCGACACTTGGTCAGGTGGAACCGGGGATTGAACCAACCTTGTGGATTGTAGACAACCTACATGAGCCACTGCCGCCTGCCGTGCATTGATTAAACATTAGTCATGTGTAGTTAATGCACGATAGGGATTTCCTGGAATGTTATTGTACTTCTACGGCAGGGCGTGTCTGTGTGAGACGCCCTCTGGTGTTCAGATGAAGCCGCATTTTGAAGCCCAAAATTTGCGCAGCCTGTTCCAAATCATTGTGATTAATTGTCTAGCCCTAATATAGAACATAACTTTTTAAACTGACTTGATTGGCATCATTACAGTGGGTGCTAGTCCACTACTTTTGTTGGATTCATGCAGTGCTACCTTAGATTTCAGCAATAACAAGGTATCTTGCAGGGGAACATAATTTAGAGTGGCATCTGTGTCGGGAACGTTACTCGGAAAACAACAAATGTTGCTTGGGTCGCTCACTGGGCTTTGTAATTGAGCGTCCATCTTCCATCCACTTATTGCAGATCAAGTTGTTGCTGAGTCGTAGTGTCCTCTCTTGACTTGCTTTTATTTCAGCCAAAGCCCAGTGTGGAAATCTTATCTAGTGCCCTGCAACCTTTTATTTGTGGATGGACATATTGACTTGCTCATGTTTCAGCCCAGTGCGTGAATCCCAGAATGGCAGGAGGTTAAGGGCAGACAGCTCTCAGTTCATGATGAAACAGTCGGAGGCAGATTGGTGCAATATTTCTAGGCATCACTCTGACACAAATCCCGCTGCAGGACGCTGGAAGCTGACCAGGGTCGTGTTGGTGTGGCATCCACTCTCCCAAACCATGCATGCTGATGCCTCCAAATGTCAGCCCTAAATCTTCTGAAAGTTTATTGCTCTTGAAGTAGAGCCCAGAAAGCCCTCACCCACAGACTATGAAGGGCCCAGTGCCAACAAACACAACCGTGCCATCAGCAAGGCTCATGTGCCAGTATCCTGATTCAACCCTCTTTCCAGGGCCACCTCAATACGCCGCTGATTTTTTATTTGGCACAATTGACTGTTGGTTTAAACAAAACATAGCTGATTGTGTCATTTACCTTTACTGTTTTCATCAGTGGTGGAGGAAGTACTGAATCTCAATACTTAAGTAAAAGTACAAATACCCAGATAAATATTTACTTTAGTAAAAGTAGAAGTAACACAATGACAACCATACTTAAGTAAAAAGTAAAAAGTACCTGATTTTAAATGTACTTTAAGTATTAAAAGTAAAAGTACTTGCATAACAATTTATTATCTTAATGTCTATTTTCTAATGATTAATAAAACATTTAATTCTAACTCATTCAACCTAATAGCCTACTCCTATAATGATGTTCAATAATGATGGAAAAAAAATGTCACCATTTCTGAAACAAGCTTGCAATTAGGCAATATCATGCTTATCCTTACTATATGTTAATAACTATGTTTGGCAGTAAACGCGATTAATTTATGGTGTAATTCTGAACCTCTTGGCTTGCCATAATCCTAACCAAACCAAACATATATTACACACGGTGTGTTTCCTATGCACGTAAAAACAAATTTTCGCGTATGAGTTGCATGATAAACACACTGCGTGTGAGACGCATTTAGTGTGACCGGGTTGATATACTGTATCTATGGCAACCAAACGTCACTGGTGAGACAAACGTGCAACGAACAGACGGTCAGATTACGTTTTGGCAGGGGAAAAACTGATCAGAAAATGTAACGAAAATGTAACAGAAGTTGTAGAAATGTAGTGGAGTAGAAAGTATAATAATTGCTGCAAAATGTAACGAAGTAAAAGTAAAAAGTATGCACTATTTATTCTACTTAAGTAAAGTAAAGATACGTGAAAAATGTACTTAAGTAAAGTAACGAAGTATTTGTACTTCGTTACATTCCACCACTGGTTTTCATTTGCATATTTGTCACTTCTTGGATTTCATCATAAGGTCAATGAAGCGCATGCATTTTAAAAATCAATAATGTTGCTGCCTGTACTCATGGATTTCCTAGTGAAATGGAAAGTTTGGGTGGACATAATTGGATGACTACTCCCCCATTTTTAAAATATCACTAGGCTTAAGTAATGATGAACGATTAAAAAAAATAAAAAATGTCATCATGTCTTTGTTATTTCTGCAATTGCTTTATCATGACTTAAAAAAACGTATTCCAGTCTAAGATTGTTTGCTGGTCTTAGCTGGTTTCTTTCTTCTAAACAAATACTGAGAGCTTTTGGTTTCAACAAATCTTGACAGAGATGTTTTTAATGGAGTGTAAGTGTAGCAGTGCACATGCCAGACTTCTGTTTGTTCCACTCTGGCTTCTGAAGAGCATCAGAGGTGAAATGCCGGCCATTTAGCCTCATTTAGTCTGGGTTCAGACAGGTGGCCAGAGAACCACTAATGACTGCAAGTGAAAGAGGAAGGGGCCCCGCTAATGTGCTCTTCGACTGACCTCCATTGACATTTTTCAAAGGAACGGTCATGAATTCAGCTCTCACATTCTGATGCCCATACTATAATGTTTGGGATGGAGGAAAACAAGACAAGGTTTTGAGTGTAAAGATACTCAACACCATTCTACAAAATAAAACGTGTTCCTTTAATGTACAAAATAGCATCCAGAACTTAACATCCTAGATGCTAATCCGAAATACATTTATTAGTCTGACTGACGCCATATCAAGGTTACACAACATTATTCTGCCTTCCATGAGAGCTATTAAGGGCATTTAATTGGAATCTAATATTGATTTTGCTTGCTTTTATGGTAGTGTAAAATCACAGAAATATCCAGCACTTACCTTTCCAAGCTGCTGTAGCAAAGCCTCTGAACCACTGCCAGCCACAAACATTTTCATTTACTTCAGCTATTTTCACACAATTGCTAAACCATTTGCAGAGACAGCTCACAGTACTGCAAAGTCAGATGGAGGACAGCATCAAACAATTTTCCTCCCAGATATGACACACTCTGCTCCTTACAGCTTTTAGCTGGTGTAATCATAAAGTACACGGTAAAAAATAGCATGGCTGCTTTGAGAGTCTCCAAAATGCCATTTGAACTATTTAAATTGTGGCTTCTGCCAGTACTGTGAAATATTGTGAATGAGGTGAAGCATTAGAATTATAACTATACAGTTATTGAGCTCATTGAGCCTCTAAGATAACAGAGATATTTTTATATTATATTAAAGGTCCTCTTTGTTTTTACAGGTATGCTGGTGGTTAACGTTACCTGGAGGAACAAAACGTATGTCGGAACACTTTTGGATTGTACACGTCATGACTGGGCCCCTCCAAGGTATGTGAAATGTTTTAACATTTCAAATCAGGAAAATCAAGTGTTCTTTTCCAGGAGCCCCCCTCCCTTCCTTCCACTTCGCTTGCCCCTACTCCCTCCAGACTAGCAGTAAGCCAGGTGTATCATATCATAACCCTTAGGGATGAGGCACACTATTAAAAACACACACATCTCCAAGCTTATCAAGTGATAAGAATACAATCCAACCTCCGGCTTAATGCGAGAATCTAAATGTGTGTGTTTTTTTAAAATCAGTTTTATAATTTGAATAGCTATTTGCTGTTTAGGAGTGATTTTGGTATGATAAGCTTTTTAGTAGTATTTAAATGTGTTATGCATGCTGTATTAAATGTTTAAAGTACAATTCTAAATGTTATACTATTTAGTATTTTAAGTGCTAGCATGTTTTAGAGGTCTAAATTGGTGGTGGTGGTGGGGGGGGGGGGGGGTTGTTGCCAGATTCAATATTTTGAACAATTTTGGTCTAATTTACCCATTGACAGCATTTAGTGTTGTCATGACGGCTAATTGTTATTAAGTTAATCGTAAAGGTCTAATAAATAATGTTAATTTTTCTTTAAGGTTCTGCGAGTCTCCCACAAGTGACCTAGAGATGAGAAATGGACGTGGCCGTGGTAAAAGAATGCGACCCAATAGCAACACCCCAGTCAATGAGAACAGCAACTCGTCTGATAATAAGGGCAGCAACAACAGCAAGACGAGAGCAAGTTCCAACAGCAAGGGTAGGCGTGGAAGCCAAAACTCCTCTGAGCGCAGGACTCCACCCAACAGCAACACAGAGGACATAAAAGCCAGTCCCTCCTCAGCCAGTAAGCGCAAGAGCAAGCCTACATCAGACATGGAGCCCAACTCCAGCTCTGAGGATTCTAAAGGCAATAAGCGTATGCGCACAAATTCAAACGGTGGAATGACCTCTTCTGCACTCCCAATACCTATCATCAAAACTGAGTCACTTCCTCCTCCACTAGACCGAACCTGCCCCTCACCTGTACTGATCGACTGCCCACATCCCAACTGCAACAAGAAGTACAAGCACATCAATGGCTTGAAGTACCATCAGGCGCGTGCACATAATGACGATGATATTAAGTTGGATATGGATGGGGACAGCGAGTATGGGGAAGAATCCTCTCTCCACCCTGAGCCAGGAACTTGCAATGGAGCTTCAATTACACAGAAAGGCTCGCTCTCCCCAGCACGGTCTGTCACGCCTAAAGGAAGGGGCTTTGATGCTCAGAGTCCATCTCCCTCTCCTGGAAAGTTTGGCTCTAAGACAAAGAAAAAGAATTGTGATGTTGAAGCAGACGTTTGTGGCACACCAATGGAGGGTTGTGAGGATGGACCTTGCGTCACTGCTGATGAGGCTAGCAATGATGGCATAGAGGACAGGAAGTCCAAAAAGCCCAACAGCAATGTCAAGTCCGACAAGCTGTGCCAGAAGAACATGAAATCTTCCAGGTCCATGGCTCCATCCCTCCCTTCTCAGCAGATGTATGCTCTGCAGCCAACACCATTCAGTGGTGGGAGCCCCAACCATCCCCCTGGGTTGGCCAACTTGTTGCAGGGTATCCCCAAGAGTCCCCAGCTGAAAGGCATGCAGTCTAAGTTAGGTGTAGCTGGGGACTTGTCGCCAATTAATCCAGCCTTGAGCAGCTCCAAGGACAAAAAGAAAAAGGACAAGAAAAAGAAAGATTTGGCCAAGGATGCAGACAGCCCCAAGCTCCCAGCAAAAAGTGGGAAAACTGAAGAGGAGAAAAGTCCATATTCTGAATCCTCTGACCCAGGAAGCAGAAGTGAGGGTCATCTCAATGGCTCCTCGGACCCTCATCAAAGCCGCCTTGCGAGCATGAAGGCTGAGGCGGATAAGATATACAGCTTCACTGATAATGCCCCCAGTCCATCCATCGGGGTGGCCAGTCGTGTGGATAGCAGCGGACAGCCTCTCACTCCTCTTCACGTTGTCACCCAGAATGGGGCTGATAGCTCCTCGGTTAAGACGAATAGTCCTGCATACTCTGACATATCTGATGCCGGAGAGGATGGGGAAGGCAAAGCGGAAGGGGTCAAAGTCAAGACGGAAGATCAGTCAGGCAGGGATAGTGCGAAAAAGGCTCTCTTTCCCTCTCAGGCATCCTCTAAGGAATCTTCATATTATGCTAGCTATGACAACTACTATTCTCCAAGTTACACCCACCCTAGCCCTGGTAGCTCCACAGCTAGTGGGCCTCTACCAGATGGCCAACCTGTGAAACTGAAGAAGGAAGACGAACAAGAATTGCCGGAGGAGAAGGCGAAGGTGGATGTGCAGGATGAGCGCAAAGCTGAGGTCGCTTCAAGTCACCCACACCAACAGCAGCAAGCCTCGGTCATTCAGCAGCGCTCCAATATGTACATGCAGCCACTCTACTACAACCAATACTATGTCCCCCCATATGGATACCCGGACCAGGTTTATCACAACCACCTCATGAACACTAATCCAACCTACAGGCAGCAGTATGAGGAGAGGCAGAGACTTATGGCCGAGCAGCACAGGTCTGCTGAGAAAAAGCCTGATTTCGGTGTAAAGGACAGGGAAACCTCACTGAAGGAGGACTGGAAACAGAAGGGCCCTGTTCCACCAGGCCTAACAAAAGCCCCCAGCCTTTCAGACCTGGGAAAGCCACAGGCCACTGGCAAGCAGAGAGACACTTCCTCCGAACCTGTCAAGTCAGTGATCATCCCTAAAGGGGAGGAGGTCAAGCTACAGCCACAGCAGGCTGAGGGGCTTAAAATGAAGCTTAGTGAAGCTGGCCATCATGGAAAGGATGACTCAAAGGCAAGTGTAGAGTCTGCCAGGCTGGGTATGGAGCAAGCCATGTGGTACAGACAGGTGAGGCAAACATGTGATTCTTGAACTGAACAGCACCGTTTGCAAGCTAGAGGGATAATTTACCAACAAATGAAACCCTTCATGTTATATAGAGTCGCGTTTCCACCGCAATTACCAGGAACTATTTGTCACAGGAACTTTTTCCCCAGCCCGCTTGCTTACTGCATTTACACCGCATACTAAAGTACCGGTCCGGGGAGGGAAGATTATGTAGTGACGTTGAACTGCGTGCGACTGCTCTTCCTAAGCTGCGCGTTTGTTTTGAGTTTTGTATGGAGGAGATTCAAGCTTTGCTGCTTTTGTGTGCGATTGGTTTACTAACAAAGTAATTAGCAAAAACCCAAAGCGTATTCAGAAAGCTCGTAATGCTAGATATAAAAGTAGACGTTTGTTATCAGCGGACATTGACCGTGAGATGGATGGGACGAACGCGTGCCATCGGGCAGAAAGAATAGCGTGGTGAGAACCAATCAGCATGTTCAGCACACAAGTCCAACCCCGAAAGTTCCTGAACTCTGAAAAAGTACCACCTCACCAGCAGGGACTTTCTGGGGGGGGGGACATTTTTACCCGAAACTTCATTTAGACCCTGGTTCCTGCGGTGTAAACACACCGAGTACCACCCCAAAGTTCCTAGTTCCTGGGGAAAGTTCCTGCGGTGGAACGCGGTATAACATGGAACTTAGGTTATATATATTTCACACCGGGGAGTCACCAATTTAAGTCTTCTAATGCAAAACGCAAGATCTGGCCTTTTGAGTATTATTGTGAGAATTTAAATCAAAATAATAAAATCACAGATCTCATTTGGGTGAACTCATTTCATTACCTTTCAAAAACCCTAACTGTATTCCTTTCTGTTTCCAGTACTCTGACAGTCAGAGACCGCCAGATGAGGAGCGAGACAGGGAGCGAGACAGAAAAGGCAAAGAGGAGAGGCCCAGGCTGAAAGACAGCAGCTCAAAAGAAGATGGTAAAGATGGAACTGATGGTTCATGTCCTCCCAACACTGAGGACCATCGAAGCGGAGGGAAAGATCCCCGGCCCAATGCCCACATACCTTTCAGCTCCCCCTTGACACAGCACCAACCCTACCTGCATTACATGCATGGATATCCTTTTGGACAAAGCTACGATCCCAACCATCCTGGATACAGAGGAATGTCCTCCGTCATGATGCAGAACTACCCAGGTAAGATGAATAATAACATCTGAGTTTAACGATTGATTTGTGTGGGTTGGCCAACATCATACTCTATGCAAGTACAGAATGGTGCAATGGATTGCTTGGAAGACACATTTTCAGTGTGCAGTCTTCTTGCGTTGCATTTATTATGTCCTTAATAAACCTCAGTACTCAAGGTGGCCACTGAATTGCTTTCAAATACCACTGCTTTTAAACCAGATGCGTTATCATTTAGGCAGCTAGCTTTAGACATGACAAGACTTTACTTCCCCTCTATAGTGCTCCTTGTGACAATGTTGAGAATGCAACACATACTTGCGCTGCTTTATAAATTGGTTTTGACATTTTATAGCACAATGGCACGTGAAATCAACTTTGGCATGGTGGGAAATTGGCATTCATATACTTGCATAAAGTATGTTTTGGGTCTTTATGTGTGTTAAAAGTGCGTAAAGGCACTCCCATGATGTAGAAACTCAGTATGGTTTCCTAATCTTTAGGGTCGTATCTGCCAGCGGGATACCCTTTCTCTCCTTACGGCAGTAAAATGGGAGGTGGAGAGGAAGCAGAGAAATCTCGCTCCAGCCCCACAGTCAGCAACAAGTCCGCTTCAGAGTCCAAAGCCTTGGACATACTACACCAACATGCCAACCAGTACAAGAGCAAATCGCCTACCGTTGCCGACAAGCCCTCCCATGAAAGGGAGCGAGGGGCAAGCGACCGAGAGCGGGAAAGAGAGAGGGATCGAGAGAGGGAGAGAGAAATGGATCGGCCTCGATCATCTCCCTCCCAACGCCTAATGCCACCCCACCACCACCACCATCATCTAGGCTATCCCCTTGTAGCCGGGCAGTACGATCTATCTTACGCCACAGGTTAGCGGTACTTTATGAATATTCTGATTATTTTGAGATGGTTGTGGATGAATCTCACACAGTCTGTCCAGACTCCACAACACAATGAACTCCACTAAAAATCTGGCTAAAAATACATAGCCAGGGCGTTTCTACCGAGCAGGCAGTGCCTCCTTAACAAGTTGAATGAGAAATGAATCCATATTAGAAAACTAAAACAACGCAAATATTACAAAGATGTGGGTTTAGTGGGGGGGGTAATAGATAATGAAAGGGAAAAAGTCACGTGAGAGAAGGGAATGCCTCCATCGCACTGTGATTGTGTATGATTGGTTCGTGCGATAAATCCCACCTCTTGTTTTCGTGCGCATTTACGAATCGGTCTGAATTATCAAAATTAAGGCGTTAATGGGAAGACTAATTAAAGTTAGTAAACAACTACCATTTAGATATCACCGCTTTTGTCACATCAAAATCAAACTTAAAATAGACTGCATTGTGACCCTATGTTTAAATATGACGTTGTTATAAATTATTTTCTGTACCACACTATTCAGAATTAGATTTTTTTAAAGATATGGGGGGAAGGGGATTTAATATGAATTAGGCATTTCTTACTGAGATTTCAAATGGCTCATCTGATATGTTTAGGGGGGGAGAGGAGAATAAAATATTGCTGCTCATAAAACTGTGCCAATTCCACAAGGAAACTTGAGTGTAAACAACATCTTTACTGGATGTTCCTTAATTGCAGGCCTTTCATCGTCAGCAATTGTTGCCAGTCAGCAAGCCTCAGCCCCTTCCCTGTACCCACCAGCACGGAGGTGAGAATGGTAAGAGGAAACAAAGATCAAGGAAAGTCAGCAGAAGTGATGGATTGTGGTTAAACAGAGAGCAAATCGCATAAATCAGTCAGTTTTCACGTGTTTCCCCATTTCTGCTTGTCATGCGCAATGTTTTTACTCTAAAGTTTCTGTTTCATGGCAGCATGATTGTTTAAGGACCCTAGATTGAGGCTAGTGTTTTTAGCACCGCAGTGTTTGTAGCATTGCTAACACTCCTGTACAGTTTCGCCAAATGAAGCCTATGCTGACCTCTAGTGGAAAGGCATGTAATAACATCAGGGAAATGGAAGAGTGCATCGGATTAGGCATGTTTAACCTTAAAACCGTATTCTGGAAAAATGTGGGCAAAATAGTTTTGATTTACTTAAAAAAATAAAAATAAATAATACTTCCCTTGATCTGAGCTGTACAAGACTTGGCTACTTTTCCTAAGTTTGCCTCCTGAACAAACACACATTTTTTGACTCAATTCTATAATATTAAGTGGGTGGGAAAAAAATACTCCTTAATCTTGTATTTGGGTCAAAAATGGGCACCCATAGAAATGAATGGGAAAAACTGTAATTTAGAGCATTCTAAAATAATCCAAAATAAGACAGCAAAGTCGCTTCATCTTTAGGTTTTAGCCTTAACTTATTGGAATGATATTTTAATGTAGTTTAAAAAATAAAACATAAAATAAGCATAATTTAAAATATGGTACTTTTTGAAGTAAATAATTTTAAAAATATTAAAAATAGAAACACCATAAATGGAAAGAAAACTGTGGAAAAATCTGTGACATTTTATTTTGAAGATCTCCTTTTAGACATTCTGTTGACTACACATAACCTTACCTACATGTCAACTAATTTATTAACGTATTAGTAGACAATCTGCTAAATATCTGCCCAACAGACAACAGAAAATATGGTACTTTTTGAAGTAAATAAATTCAAAAATACCCTCAAAATAAACAAAAACACCATAAATGGATACACAAAACTTTATCGAAGACATTCATAATAAATAAAATTTAGAATCACACCTGAGACCTCGGTGGCCACATTTGCCCACAATTACAGGATTGAGGGCTATAAAGTGTTTGAGGGCTACTAACAAATATAAATGATACTAAATGTACTTTTATAATTAGTTAATTTCAAAGCCAAATCATAGATTAAAACTATACTGTATTCTGACCAGTTGTTTCTTGTGTTTTCTTTCTTTAGGGAAACCTGATTGTCTCGCCCTTCTTTACAATTAATCATGTGACTGGATCACATGGGGAAGTATATGGAGTTCATTTAGACATCAGTTGAATGGTGTTTCTATATTTTTAGTTTTTCTGCCGGAATGTGTGGCAGATTGATGTTTTCCTAGTATCCGTACCTCGTACCCCGCTACAGACCAGGTTTAAAGCCATCCCGCCCTGCTCAAAGCCCAGCCGGCCACTGGACTCTTGCCTGTGAACTGGCGAGGAATGATTGAAAAGCAAGGACTGTCGTTGAACTCGCCCGACGCGGGCTGTGGCCGGGCTGAGGCGAGGACTCGAGGGGACGTAAGAACACAAAGACTGAAAATAGTTTTATCACACTGAGATAACTAAAGTTGTTTCCTTTTTTATTTTAGTTGGCATCCTCACTGAAAACAACAAAAAAAAATGTTTTTTTTGAATTGCTCTCTGCGGATAATATCTAGCATTGTCTCATAACTCTGTCTTTCTGCCTTTGGTTCCTAAACGGTTCTCACCGCCACATGCCTCAAGACTGCTCTTATTTTTTTTTTTTTTTCCTTTTCCCATGCCTGGCTTCTCCATCATCCGCATGGTTCTGTGTAACAACCGCCAGTAAGTTATAGCACTCTGCTTAAACTGTGTAGGAGACAGTCATGCTGTTTTAGACAGTCATTCACGAAATATAATTTTAGCGAGCACAGTCTTTCAGAAGAACATCAGCGGTCCGTTTACTCCACTTGGTTATCCTTCAACTTGAATCCGAACATCCTCCTTGGCTACCTTACCTCATCGCTGACCGAATTTCCGATTTATCGCTGTGGTTCTTAAAATGGATGTTTGTTAATGTGACGAGGTATAGTAAGTTCTTCTAGAGAGACGCTATGGGGTGCGTGACACCAGAGGCCCAGTAGTTTCGTTCTTGCATGGGGCCGCTCTATCCCTGAACACTTATCGTGGAAGTGTCGTGATGATAACTCCAGCGTGTTTGATGAAACCAAGTGAGCGTTTGACCCGAACATGCTTTCATAGCCCATCATGCTCTGTGTTCTTTCATGTGTCGTCCAGCATGGTGTACTATAGCACTAGAAATGTGACTTTTTAACGGTGTCTCCTCAGGCAAAGCAAACTTTGGTTTCGCACCAAACGCTGACTCTCTTGGTTGCGCACACTATGTGATGTACAGAGGGACTGTTTTAAAATGCTATCAAGCGACCATCTGATTTCTTTGATGTTTTGAAATCTGTCTCTTGGGTGTGCTTTTCTTTTCCTGTCCGGTCTCTGCTCGGCTTAGTCTTGGGAATCTCTCAATCTAAAATCTCGACCAGTCGTAGCTCATGGTGGATCTCAGGCCCAGTTTCCTGGTCAACGCTGATGTTTTCAAACGAGCAGATCGAATTTAACAGGCTCCGTGGGAACGAGACGACGGACAGGCGTTCGGAGGATTACGTTGACTCGTTCCCTCTCTCCCATGTGTAAGGTTACAATTGAAAAAAGCACCATGGTACACTGAATACTAAGAGAAATGGGCTGTTACACATCCAAATATGACATTTGATATTAGGTAGGCTACATTTGGGATGTACGAATTCTTTCAAACCTGAACAATTGATTCAATTCCCTCATGGTTTTTGTCAGCACATGAAAATTGTCAAATGGTGCTCAGCTGACACGCTGTGATTTGTTGGAAAGAGGATGCAGTGCACTATTGCATGCTTTACGTCATTTTCACCTCTTTCCTGTTGCGCTTCGTCCCAAGTGTTTCCCAAAAGACAACTTATCACCAAGTATCAGGCCCCGGTACTTAAAGAATGTTTACATTTTGTTTTTTTTAATGGTTTTGTTTGGATTTTTTTTTTTTTTTTTTGCTGTATCACCCAATTCCTCCTGTTCTTTCTTGGACTGTTCTCTTATGTAAAGTGTACATTACCACGTTTCTTTTTTATACAATACTGTAACTTGCCTTTGTACATTTAGGCAAAAAAAATAAATCTTTTTATGAGACAATCACATCTGTCCTTGTGTGGCTCTCTCTCTGTTCTGCTTTACGATCATTTAAAGTAAATAATTTGCATGTTTTTATACATTTTCTTTACTTTTACAATAAAGGTGGATGTTCGTATCCTTCAACCAGAAGATGGTTTTCAGGTAAGTTATCTTAGCTTTCGATAATATGTTCAAACCGCCACAAAAGAGCGTCTTCTGTCCGTCTACTGATCTAATGCGTGAACATTATGGGAAGCGCTCTAGACAGACGGGATTTAAACTGTTGGCTGAAGATTGAGGAAAAACATTTTCATTTTTCCAAATGATAAACTTTCTCTCGATGTTGGTTAAACTTAGCAGTTCAAGGGATAGTTCACTTTAAAATTAACTTTTTGGTATATTTTAGCTTATCTCAAGGGCATCCAAGATGTAGGTGTCTGTTTCCACAGTATTTTCAATTTTGATATTTTTAGGTCAAACCGTTCTTGTCTGTCAGTCATATAATGGAGGTCTATGGTCACCACCTCAAAGAGCATGCACAGAGAAGTCCAGTATAGAAGAACAGTATTTATACCTTTTTCACCTCTTGTAATCACAGTCACGTCCAAGTACTCTGAGGGCGATTTCGAAGACTATTTCGATTTGATTTTTTTTCGCAACTGCACAAGAGATCACTTCCGGCGCTTGTGCAGACCGAAGCACCCGTGCCTTCAGATCAGTTGCACGAAGTGGCTGTGGTTACAAGAGGTAAAAACGATATAAATACTGTTCGTTTTCTCACACAAACCGCTCGTTTCGTGTCTTAGGCCATCAATGTGTACTTACATTTACGAGTCATTAAATCATGTTTAATTTGGACTTCTCTGTATATTTGCTCTTTGAGGTGGTGACCATAGACCTTTATTATATGACTGACAGACAAGAACGGTTTGACCTAAAATTATCAAAATTGAAAATACTGCGGAAACAAAGACACCTACATCTTGGATGCCCTTGAGGTAAGCTAAAAACATACAAAAATTAATTTCAAAGTGAACTATCCCTTTAATCCAGGAATAACATGCGTGCTGAAAAATCCTTCTCCAGTCAGTAAACGTGTCCCTGTCCCCAAAAATGCCAAATATGTTGGTACTCAAAGCACCTCCTGCACGTTTTCTGCCGCGCATCGTTTATCCTCACCACGCATGCGTCCGGTTATGTTTAGAAGACTCAATAAATTGCTGGAAATATTACAAATCCTTCACCGTTAAAACCCTCGGATGCATGAAATTCCAAATCCCTAACATTTTAATTCACTTGCCTTATTGCTCTAATGCTGTTAGACAGTCATATGACAACAATAACAATATCTGAAAGGGTCATTGTTTTGAATATTTGCACAATAAAGCCCTTTCAGCTTGTGTAAAGTGCTTTGTCTGTGACAAAAGGAGCTTTTTGTGTGCAACGTGATGCAGCAGTGGAGATTATGCGGGATGATTTTGTGGATTGTGAATGTAAAATCTGATTACCGTGGATGGCAGGGGGGATGGGAGGGAGGCAGGGAGATGCTGAGGCAATGACTTTTCCTCTGATGTCCTGCAAGGGCATGGAAGTACACCTTTCCTCTTGCTGCTAAGCAAGTCTGCATCGGATATCTGGGATTTCATGGGATGCACTATATACGCAGCCAGTTCTGAGGCTCCTTCAACGGAGGGGCCTGAGGCACAGAGACGCCCCCATGCTCACAGCACCAGGACCTGTCGTACTCGGAGGACCGGTGAGGCTCAGATGCATTATAGCGTGTGGACTGACTGTTGACCCGTGTCTTTTATTAATGCCGAACTTAAAAACCTCAACTGTCAGATATTTATTATCGCCACAATGTGAATGTCCCCAGTTATTCCTGGCTGTTTATGTGTGATTTAGACTATACTTTTTACATTTTCACTTTGGATTTTAATATGATTTTTTGACAATATGACTATATAAAATAATTATAAGTAAATAATAATAGGCTAACAATAATAATAACAAAATTATTTTGAAATGCTTTCTTTATGATAGTAGGCTGTGAAGCGAAGACAACAGATTCGTTTTATAGACGTCTACGGACATTTACTTTGTCAGTCGTTGTCAAAAGTGTCTGGACTGGAAAAAATAATTGATTTCAAACGGTAGTTATTCCGATTCAGCAGCATGTCAGTCAGTGTGTGTGTGTGTGTGTGTGCGCGCGCGCTGGAATAAATCCAGAGGGAGTTCCAGGAGCTTCTTAATAACACCACGAGTCGCTAATGCTGCTTACGTAGCTCTCATAAGACATCACACTGACTACATAACGATCACATCACACTTAGTTATGACACTTTACATTCATAAACACGGACTGTTGTAACGCCGGTAAGGATGTTTTTGTGTTAACATTACTCACCTCTATGGGACACGTCGAGCGAGGGGTTTGGATATTTCCTCAGGTACGTGTCTGTCAACGGATCTTTTTCACACACTGTGATGACGCGTTTTTACGGTCATCAGTATCATAAATCCTGCAACGTTTTGTATATATATTTTAATGTATGTACATTTGATTTATAACACTATTCTATATGTAGTAGCCTTAGCCTATATTGTATCAAATTACAAAACAACTACTGCTGTGAGTGATGGTGAAACAGCGGCTGTGGACGTGATGGTCAAATTGACATCTTTCTCTACTGACTTCCGTTTTCAATCTATCTATTTTTCCCTATTTTGAAAATTGTGAAAACACTATGTGGCGATTTTCTTTTTCTATTTAAGCAAACTGGAGCTCAAAAAATAATTTAGTTCCCGCTATAAGTTTACCCAACTATGACGACATACGAAGAAACCGCGAAAGTAGTGAGACAGCCTACTACGGTTAATTCATACATCTGCATTCAAAAGGTTTAAATTGTTGTTCACTCAGAGAATATACATCACATTTTTTTTGTGAAATGTTTTAGTTGGATGTTCATCTAAAGATTTTTGTTACTACTTGTTTCAGAACGTTGAGAAAATTCAAAAGTAGGCTAATGTTCCCATAATGTTTACAAAAAAACAACAAAAAAAATCAAGAAAAATAACATTTTTCATAACAGAATGGGAACGTTAACAAAACGTCCTTTGAATATGTTTATTAGCTGGGAATACAAATAAATTGCCATATAGGCTGCTGTACTTTAGTAGTGTGCAAAGTTGCTACATTGCTTTTTATATCGATTTACTTAGCGGATATTTATTAGTTTTATTCAGGTTATTATTACTATAATTAATAAATGTATTTGATTTTATTTTATTATATGTTCACCATCAGTATTGTTTGATGCATTGCTTTACAGT